GTGTGTGTGTGTGTGTGTGTGTGTGTGTGTGTGTGTGTGTCCGTCCGTGCGGCACGATGTTCGTGTGTGTATGTGTGTGTGTGTGTGTCTGTGTGTCTGTGTGTGTGTCTGTGTGTCTATGTGTGTGTGTGTGTGTGTGTGTCCGTGCGCTCGTGCCCTTGTCTGAGCCTGTCCTGCTGCGCCCGCGTTATGCCCAGATCTCTGGGTGCCTGTCTGGGTTGGCGGGGTGGGGGGCGGGGATGAATGCTTGCAGGTTGGGGTGTCCGTGAGGTCGCCCCTTACGATCCCAATCCAAGGCTGAGCACCACGAGGTCTCCGTGCCTCAGACCCCTAAACTATGAATTGGATTTGTCTCCAGGACCAACCCTTAAGTCCCTTTAACGGATCCAGGGTCTCTCGGGCCTCCGCCCCCTTCCACCACAATGCCCCCACACACACACATACCCCTACGCCCCGAAGCCCAGACAATGCTGTCACCGCCAAGGCAGGAAAAAATAATAAAGCAAAGAACCATTAACTCTTCCCCCGCCAGCCTGTGACTGGGTAGACGCAGCCCCCCCCCAACCCCAGCAAGCTCCAATGGGGCGGGTGGGGTCATCCCTGCAGCCCGATGATAGGACTGAATCCACCTTTGGAGGAGGTAGGGGGAAGGCTCCGTGTTGGTGAAGCAACGGGGGGGGGGCGCTTTCAGCCACCCCCACTTCCTGATCACTCAAGGTCAGACTGAGCTGGCACCCCTTTCAGATGGGGAAACTGAGGCCTGGAAATGGCTCAAGGTCATTAAGGAGACCATTAGATCTTGCTTCTGACCTCAGCCTTAATTTACCAAATTCTCCCTCACCCCAAAAGAGGCCAGTGTTTGACAGGACCGCTCCAAACTGAGTAGGCAGGGAGAGCCTAGCTTCAGTGGCAGGGTGGGAGTCAAGACAGTGTTCCTGTCCTCCACCATGCTCCTTCCCTAGTCTAGGGACAGGATGGCAGACAGGGAAGGAACTAGTCACTGCACAGAAACTCCTGAGCCTCCCACTTCCCCACCCTAGGCTCACACATACTCACCAAGAACCACCCAGATTCCTACTAGACCCTGGGGTCTGCAGAACCCACATACAGCTGCACCCTACCAAGGGTTCCAGGCAAGTGCTTGAGGAAGGTGATGGCTTTCAGAGAGGCAAGAGATTGGGTCTTCCTCCCAGTGCTGCCAAGGGAGCACCCCTAGTGAGGAGCAGCATCTTGCACATCCTTGCCCCCTAGAAAGAGGCCTGAAACCACACTGGCCTGGGATTTACCAGTTAACAGCATGTCAGTGCCTTCCCATAGTTCTGTACGTTCTCCTGGGACCCCCCATCCCTGGCAACTCAACCTGAGGGCCCTTTCACTGGCCTTCCGCATTCTTTGCCCATCTTATAAGCATTATAATCTTTATACCAGCATCCCTTTCTGAAACTGGGTAACCCAGACCACCTCCCCTGGCCACTCCTGGACTGGCAGAGGGTGGGAGCTGCCGGCACTGCCTCCCACTGGAAGCCACTCAGCAAACACTGCAGCAAGCAGCCGCTTCTGCCCAGAAGAAACAGCAGGATTGTGTCCTCCATTTCCGCCAGTTGCAAGGAACTCCGATGAGACACAGGTCCAGTCTCAGCAAGGAGCTCAGGCTAAGTGGCAGGCAAGATTTCTAGATATGTGAGGGCAGGATGGAAGGGCCTTTAGCAAGAATTGTCACATCACGTAGGATATGCCGCTATCAATGGCATGCATGTGATCAGGGTCCCTGGCACCATAGAGGGGACTGGCCACCTCGAGGCTGATTGTCTGGACTCTGTAAAACTGCTTCAGGCTGTCTCATTCAGGGGCCACCAGCAAGAAGTTAAGGACACTCAGATTGTCCCATGGGGCTAATCCCCAGGGAGCTCCCCACAATACTCCCTCTGGAGCTACTAGAAAGGCCAACCCCGGACTGAGGGATGGCCTGGGAGGAGGGGTCCCCAATCATATCTACATGGACCAAGGAAAGCACAAACCCAGAGGCTGGGAGCTAGTTCACTCTGCCAGCTGAACCCAGAGTCTTGAACTTGCCTAGGGCCAGAGGCCTTGTCAATAGAGGCAGTGTGACCCCCACCCCTCACTGGGCTATCCAGAAAATGGACTCATCATAATCCAGAGTGGGGAATACCACACAGACACAGGACCTGGTTATGGGGAAGGGCTCCTCACAGAGAGGTGGTGGGCTCTTACCCTCTTAAACAGTTTCAGTTTGCCCTCAGTAAGTGCCCCCAGGAGCCCACAAACAAATCCTGTGAGGGAGCTGTGTCCCTTCTCTTGATTTTACAGCTGAAGAAACCTGAGGCTATGGGTACATGCCCAGGGTCACACACACACACACACACACACACACACACACACACACACACCACACTCCATCTCAGCCATAGCTACTTCTGTCTCATCCTAGCCACTTGAACACCTCCCCTCCCCCACTCCAAAGCAGTCCCCATGCTTGTGGCAGACCTGGTGTCTTCCTCATTCTCTCAGTCCCTGTCACCTCCCCACCTAGAAGTGTATGTAGGTGCTTCCCTGAAAACAGGGTCTCTCTATCTTGATATGTCAGATATAAGATCAGACCTTGACCTGGATCCCTGTGGCCTCAGACAAATCAGTGAACCTCGCTGAGCAAGCATACAATGTAAGGATTGACCCAGTGCTTGGCCCAAAATACCTGGCCAGGTGGAACAGTTATGTGGCTATAGTGATGATACACGGGGCTTAGAACCTGAGGCAAACCGGTGAAGCGGACCCTCTCCATAAGGCACCTGTCATTCAGGCCTTTTTCTCTCTTTTACCTTTGAGGGGATCATGGGGGAAGAAGCCTATGTCCTTAAAGACTGGGGTGTTGGAATCCATCTTCTGAGAGGAAATGGGGCTTGCCTCCCCAACACAATGGTTTGTCCCCCACCACTGGGGACTGTCCAGGGGTTGCTGAGGAGACTGAGCTTTCCTGGGGACCAGGAGAATGGACTTTGGACACCCTGCACCCCAGCATTTTCTCTGCGCTCTGGAGGGAGGTCTTAGCAGGCTTCCTTGCCAAGTGGCATTTAGGAGCTATGAGAGTACCCACTCTTGAAAGACCCCAAGAGGCCAATGCCTGGATTAGCTCCTGGAGCCTGCTAGGGACGACCTCCCAGGCCTTTTTATCCTGTGCTGTGTAGATGGGAACAGCCCACCCACAGCCTCCTCCTTGCAGCCTTGGTGCACTTCTCAAATATTTGCTTTCCCTGACACTGGCCTGACTGGGCAAGGAGAGGGCGCTTTTGAGTGTCTCTGAAGTAGCCTGCCTCCTTGCTTTCCCTGGAGAAGCTGGCTAGACCTACCTTGGGGTTCCAGCCAAGCACAGCCCTCCCTGAGTCCTTGGGACTGTAGACTCTACTGTCCCTTTTACCTTAAGAGAAGCCTCAGCCCCAGTCAGCCTATGTGGAACAGGCACTGGGCCTTTGGTAGCCCTGGGCTACCTTTCAAAGAGCAAAATCTCCCTCAGCCCCTCCCCTCAGGCCAGGGCTGAACTTTCTCCAGGCCTGGCGGCCATGAAGGGAGAACATTAGCCAGAAAAGCCCCTTAATCAGACTGGACAACTCAGTCACCAGGAGCCCGACCTCACTATTGGGAAACCCCCTCCCAACATAGAGCCTCTGGCCAGGCTAGGATAAAGGCCACACTGTTCCCCTGGAGGGGAGAGGAGGGGCTGGAGAAAGGTGGCTCTGTTGGGCGCACAAGGCCCCATTCAGCCTGGGGCCTACTTGTCCCAGGCAGGCTGACCAGGCTGTGTAGCAGCCATGGCCTCCCTGGGCCTGTGAGCCACCAGTGCTGGCCAGGGTTGACTGGCCTGCCCAGAGCAGCTTCCGGGCCACATTAGACCTATGTGCCTTTAATCTGTCAGCCTCTGCCTTCCACAGCCCCTCCTCCCACAAGCGCTAGCAGGTCAGTCCCCACCGTCCACCACAAGTAGAGATGGAGTGTCTCCATTGGGCTGAGCCCAGAGCCTAATGAGAAAGCCCCTAAGGAGACTACCTGCCACCGGTGATCTCCTCGTCTCCCCCAAAGGAGCATGGGTGCCATATGGTTATCAACTGCAGACCAGACAGACTTCTTCAAGCCTAGTCCTGTGCCCTGGGTCCTCTCTTGCCCCATAGGGCTCAGGCACCTCCTCTATGCACCGACAGGACCATCTCAGAAACTGCCCAGAGTTTGGACATGTGGGGAGCCCTGTAGCCCCATCTCACGTCTTACTTCCTCTCCCATGTCACCACAGAGCTCCTACCCCATCTGGGAGGACTTCAACTCCAAGGCTGCGAAGCTCCACTCTCAGCTGAGGTGAGGCTGTGCCTGCAGGGTTGTCCACACTGGAGAGGGATGGGTAGGGAAGGCCTCTCACCTGCTGACCACACACCCCACTGTGTGTCTCCCCAGGACCACCGTGCTGGCTGCTGTGGCCTTCCTAGATGCCTTCCAGAAAGTAGCTGACATGGCCACCAACACCCGAGGTGGGGAGGGAGCGTGGTTGGAGGTGGGGGATGGGCCCAGTGGGCCGGGAGGCTGGAAGGGGATATGGGCCATGGGAAGGACACAAAGCCCAGAATGGAGACCTTGGCTTCTGCTGTGATGGCGTGGGACAGGTGAGCAGTGACAGGGATGTTTCCAGGAGATGGTCCTCTTGCTATGGACAGCTAGCTCAGTTAACCCTTCAGTGGCAGTTATTGGCGGCTCTGTAGTTTCTCAGTCATCCCCTCGTGCCTTCTGCGAGTTGTACGGGGCAGGTGAATAGTCCTTGGGGACTTGGAGGTCCCTTTTCCTCCTGGTTCATCTAGCAAGCACCTGGGCTCCCGTATGGTTAGTGCTAACACAACCGAGGGCTGCATCCTGTGGAATCTGCACACACCTAGGTCCCAGTAGAACAATACAGAAATGTTGCTGGCTTTTCCTTGGGTGACTCATCTTTGTCCCAGCTAGGGAAGAGGGCGGGCTCCGGCACTGGTCAGCGGGGCACCCGAAGCCAGAAACCAACCAACGAAGACTAGGATGGCCCAATATCCCAGCCCTAGTTCCAAGGGCTACAGGATTGCCGGTGATGGGGGCGGGGCGGAGCGGCCTTTCAGGGACAGCGCGCCCCCTCGTGGCCCGAGGCCGGGACTGCAGAGGCCCCCAGCCAGGCCCCTTCCCATGCAGCTTGCTTTCTTGCCAGGGGCCACGCGGGACATTGGCTCAGCACTCACGCGTATGTGCATGCGCCACCGTAGCATCGAGACCAAGCTGCGGCAGTTCACCAAGTGAGTGGGCACAGCGGACCGCAGGGGTATCCTAACCTAGAGAGGCCATCCGTGGCCTAGCTCAGGCCCCTAGCCCTGACCCACGCTCTCTCCCACAGCGCGCTGCTGGAGAGTCTCATCAATCCACTGCAGGAGCGCATCGAAGACTGGAAGAAGTCAGCCAACCAACTGGACAAGGACCATGCAAAAGGTAGGATGGGACTTTGCAGGGGTTTCCTGAACCTCTCCACAGGGACCCCTTACTATATAGCTCCTCTCTCACCCCTGCACAGAGTACAAGCGAGCCAGGCATGAAATCAAAAAGAAGTCATCCGACACGCTGAAGCTGCAGAAGAAAGCACGCAAAGGTAGAGCCCACAGCCCCCCCCCCCACTGAGGCCCAGTTCCTTGGGCCCCATTCCATAGCCCCAACTACCCTGTGGAGCACCTCCAGGGCATCATCCTGGCTGGGGGATCCTGCCCCCAGCGCAGGTCACTCCAACATGTCGGGTGGGACTGAGGGAGCACCCAGTACCCCAGACTGCGCAGGCCCCCCAACCCCTCCCCAGGAGTGGCTCATCCGGCTGTCTTTCACACATTCTTTCTTTCTCTGTCTCCTCTCCTCCTCCCACATCCGTCCTGTAGAGCTGCTTGGTAAGTCAAATGTCCGTCCCTCCAGCTGCTCCTTCCGTCCTTGTTGCATCTGTCTGCCTCCACCCCCACCCCCCAGCTTGGCCATTGGAAGGAACCTCTCCAGGCCAAGGAGGAACAAGGAAGGCCATGGTCCAGCAAGGGAGGGGCCTGGGGCACACTTCCCTGGTGTCCTTGGGACCCCTGGCCAGAAATGAGTCCCAAGCCACCGCTGGGTCACTCTGCCAGGCCAAGAGGGGTTCAGTCGCTGGGCAGGGTGGGGGTCACTGGCCCTGGCTGCCTCACTCCCACCAGGCCAGCCAGGTCCTTATCTGTCACCACCTCCTTCCCCCTCGCCATCTCCTCCACACCGTCCTCTCTGTCTCTCACTGCTTCTTTGTGCTGCTGTTGCTGTCCTGTGCACTGGTCCCTGAGCTGAGTCATGACCCATGCTGAGACACTCCTCTCTGCTCCCCAGGCCCAGCTACAGCTCCTGACCCCTGCACCTCTTAGTGGCCTGGCCTGAAGCTGAGCTGAGGCCTACCCTGTTCTCCTTTGTCCTGCTTTGAGCCATTCACCTCTCTCTCTTGAGGTCAGGGCTACCATGCTGGGCCAGTTAAAGAATCCTGAGCGATAGAAGCCTCCAGGTGGCCTCCCCATGGCCTAGCCTACCCCATATCCCATGCGGCTTTACAGCTTGATGTTGCTGTGTGTGTGAGTCTGTCTGCGTGTCTTCTCTGCCTGCTCTGGTGGGACCAGCCCCTCCACAAGCCTTAGAGTCTGCTCCATGCTCCCTGGCTCCCTTGCCCCAGCCCCACAGCCAAAAACACCAACCACCACAGGGGCCTAAGCCATAGGTACAGCCAACCAGGCCAGCGTCCCCAGCGCGGCCTCTCCTCCCAACCCCTGCAGGAAAAGGAGACCTGCAGCCTCAGCTGGACAGTGCGCTGCAAGACGTCAATGACATGTACCTGCTACTGGAAGAGACAGAGAAGCAGGCCGTACGCCGAGCACTGATTGAAGAGCGGGGCCGTTTCTGCACCTTCATCACCTTTCTTCAGCCTGTGGTGGTGGGTCTCTTGATGATTTGGACCCTCCCTGCTGGGGAGGAGCAGGGGACAGACCCAGGGTAGACCTCTTAACCTCCCAGATTGCTTCTTGGGGATCCTGAGTGAATTTGCTCAGGGCCTGGTGTACCTGGCCTGAAAGCAGGTCTTATGACACTCTGGCTGAATCTAGGCAGATGGTTACATGAGTTACCCTGGTTGTACAGGCTCAGCCTGGATCAGCATTAATGATCAGGGAAGGGCAAAAGAGGAGAGGCCTAATAGGCCTGTTTCGCCAGAGTGGGTGGCCAGGTGTGGGGGCCCAGGGACTGACTGGCTGCTTCCTCAGAACGGCGAGCTGACCATGCTGGGAGAGATCACCCACCTGCAGGGCATCATTGACGACCTGGTGGTGCTGACTGCAGAGCCCCACAAGCTGCCTCCCGCCAGTGAGCAGGTGCGGCCAGCCCTGGAGTCAAGGGCCAAGACCAGGACCAGGGAAGAGATGGTCCTGCCCTCATATGGGGACAGTAGATAAAAGAGGAAAGTATTTGGGGGAGGTACTTGGGGGAAGAAGACCAGAAACTGTCCAACAGCCCCTGAAGGATTTCTAGGACTATCTGCCCTGTTGACGTATGAAGTGCTCAGGACCCAGTAGGGCATACAGACACAGAAGGGCAGATGCCAGGTCCCTGGGGCTTGACCCCTCAAAACATAGAGGTCCCTGGCTGCCATCCACTCCCAGGTCACCATCCCTTTCCATAGACCCAAATCCACCCCACACAGAGACACACACTGCACTAGACAGCCCCTGTAGTTGGCAACTTCTGTGTACCCCACATTCGGTAGTACACCCCCTCAGGTTGCCTCAGTGAGTTCTTTCAGTATTGTTCTAAGCTGGCTACAGTTGAGAAAACAAGACTCAGAAAGGTCCAGAGACCATCTCAACCCCTAATGTCAGGTCACATGAGTCCTTGGGAGCACCTGCTTGTCCCTTGTCTCCTGCCTGGCGGGGTGGGGTTCAGTAATAAGCCAGTGTTAGAAGGCTAGGGTGGCTTGAGCTCTTCAGGGTCATCTCCTGAGGTATAGTTCATGGTTGGGGGCAGAGTGCAGGACACTCTGCCCTACAGCTCTCAGAAGCAGAGTAAGACATTGTACCGTTAGGAGCCACCTCTAATGACCGCCTCCATGTCCCCGTCCAGGTGATCAAAGATCTGAAGGGCTCTGACTACAGCTGGTCGTACCAGACACCACCCTCATCGCCCAGCAGCTCCAGCTCTCGGAAGTCCAGCATGTGCGGGTGGGTAAGGAGCTCGTGGAGGGTGGAGGGGGAGGTGATCCCAGGAGGGCCTAGGGAGATTTAGGAAAGCTGGGTTGGCAGTTGCTGCACACCACAGAACTCACACTGCCTTTAAGCATCCAAGCACTTTTCACATATAGGGGATATGGGCGAGGCATTGGTTGGCAGGAAAGGCAGGCAGGCAGTAGCTTCATTGATAGAGCATTGTTGTGTGTCAGGTGCCAAGGGTTTTTCTACATTGAGTCCTGGCACCATTGTGTCAGGAGGAGGACTAAGACACCTGAGTAGTAATTTAGCCCCTGGTCTCTGCCAGGTCTAGCACAGTATGGTATGGTTGTGCTAAGAAGGTGGGATCATGGCCGGAGGCAGAGGCAGGCTGATCTCTGTGAGTTTGAGGCCAGCCTGGTCTCCAGAGCGAGTGCCAGGATAGGCTGCAAAGCTACACAGGAAACCCTGTCTCGAAAAACCAAAAAAAAGAAAAAAGAAAAAGAGAAGAAGGTGGGATCAAGTGTGCATGGTGATGCAGGCCAGTAATTTTAGCTCTTGGGAAGGGAAGCAGGAAGATCATGGCTTCAAAGCCAACCTGGGCTGCTTCTTAAGACCCTGTCTCAAAAAATAAATTTGACAGACTAGGTGGAGCATCATTTAGGTGGTTCATGCCTTTTAGCCCAACACAAGGAAACCAGAAGCAGGTGGATCTCTGTGAGTTCAAGGCCAGCCTAGACCACATAGTGAGTGCCAGGACTATGTAGAGAAACTGGTTTTGTGCACACCTCTAACCCCAGCATTTGGCGGGGGAGGAGCAGGAAATCAAGGTCACTCACAACTATGCACAAGTTGGAGGCCAGCTGAGACTATATGAGACCCTGCCCCAATAAACAAAACTAAAAAAGAGTCTAAGATCAAGAAGTTTCTGGGAATATCTGTTTGGGCTTCAGGGTAAAGGACACTCCAGCCTGGTGGTTGCCTCAAATTGGTCCCCAGCAATTGCCACAGGCTTCAGCCCTGGCTTAAGTGGGCGTTTTGGGTCTCACAGAGATGGGAAGAAGCTGGAAGTCTTCCTCATCCATCAGGCTGGCCCTGAGGTCAGTTTGAAGGGGAGGCTTATGGTTCAAGGGACCTCAGGTAGGGAAGGCAGTGAACTTCAGAGCAGCTTGTAGATTAGCGAGGCTCTGTCCCAGGTACCCCTCTCCCCAGAATGCTCTCTGTCTGGGCACTGGGAGCTGGGGAGAAGCTAGACCCAATGATCAGTGTATCCTACACTGAGAGGTGGGCATAGCTTCTGGGGCCTCTTCAGACCTTGAATGAGTGGCAGTGGCTGTCCCAGGAGGGATGTAGATAACCATAAAGGAGATACTTAGGGGCGGGGCTTTGGAGGACCAAGGTCATGCCCAGGAGAAGGGCAGTCTTCACTGCCAGGAATTGCTGGCTAGAGGTGGGATGGATAGCCAAAGGGGAGAGCCACAGAAAACTGCACTCCTAGACGGGATGACAAGGTGATGACAAGGTAGGACTAATCTGGCAAACAACCTCCGTTTCCAGACACCATCATCTCACCATATGCCAGGTACTCAACTGTGACTAGACAGCAAGAAGCAGGCTGTTAGGAGACAGTTTAGAAACTATCAGGCTTGTGTCTGTTCTCAGTTTCCAGTGCCTGGTGACTCAGCTCCCCCTATCATGAACCCGTGAACAACCAATCTGGTGGTAACGTGGGAGGCAGAGGGACTCCTTACTTTGGATGTACCCTGACAGGGACTCCCCAGCACTGAGAGATGCCATCCCAGAACTCCTCAGCAGTACCTGGGTCTCCGGACCTTGTAGTCTGACATTTTCTTTTCCTTCCTTTGCTCCTCATCTTTCCCCACCCTCATCTGTCACCCCTTCCCTCTCTACACACACCTGTGTCTCCCCGTCTGGCTGCTGTGTCTCACCCTCCTTCACTCCCTTAGCGCCCCCAGCAGCAGTAGCAGTGCCAAGGGTGGCGGAGCCCCGTGGCCTGGGGGTGCCCAAACATACTCACCCAGTTCCACCTGTCGCTACCGCAGCCTGGCGCAGCCAGCCACCACCCGCCTCTCCAGTGTCTCTTCCCACGACTCTGGCTTCGTCTCCCAGGACGCCACCTACTCCAAGCCCCCTTCACCCATGCCTTCAGACATCACCAGCCAGGTGAGAGGACATCAATAGGACCACACGGGTGGGGAACAGGAGCCTCGTGCCAGCCTCGGGCTGTCCTTGAGAGGGGAGGCAGTTAGCTCATGGAGACCGGTCGCATGGCCTTCCCACTGTTCCACATGTCTACCCTTGATCTCCATCTCCAAGCTGCTTTTGAGCAGCGTGTCACCGTGCTTTAGGTGAGCCTCATCTGGACATTCTTGTTCTATCCAACCTGACATTTTCTGTGCTGATGATCAAAGTCCAAAACACTGTACAAACTAGACAAGCACTCTGTCACTGAGCTGTACCTCCAGCCTTAGCCATTTGTGTATGTAGTAGTTTTATTATTTATTGTTTTATGTGAGGGGGTGTTTTGTCTGCACATTGTCTGTCCACTGTGTCTGCGCCTCGTGCCTGAGAAGGCCAAAAAAGAGCCTTAGATCCCCCAGAACTGGAGTCATGGACAGTTGTGAGCTGCAATGTGGATGCTGGGAAGTGAACCAGCCAGTGGTCTCAACCGATGAGACCCCCACATGTGGTATTCTTGAGTCAGGGTCTTAAGTAGCATGGATTGGCCTGTGTGTGTGTGTGTGTGTGTGTGTGTGGGTGTGTGTGTGTGTGTGTGTGTGTGTTCTTTTTATTCTTTTAAATTGTGGGTAGGTATGTGTCTGCATATGGGTATGTGCATGTGAGTGCAGATGCCCTTTGGAAGTTGGAGGCATTGAAACTCCTCTAGCTGAAGCTACAGCCAGTTGTGAGCTCTCTGACGTGGATGCTGGGAACCAAACTCAGGCCTTCTGGGAAAGCAGCAAGTGGTGCCCTGAATCACTGAGCCAGCCATCCCTCCAGTCCATGGCTTGGCTTTTCTGTATGGGTTCTAGGGATCAATCTCAGGACCTCACTCTTTCCATCTCTCAGTCCCCAGTCATTATCTGTTTACCCTCCTTTCATTGCTTCTGTTCTGCTGGGGTTAGAATTAAACGTATGTCACACTTTGTTCTGCCTTTCTGCGTCTCTTTCTTCAATAAGGACTTAGGGCTTTTCTTGTTCAATTGATTCACTAATAGTTTTGGTTTGGGTTTGGTTGGTTTGTTTTATCAGGGGCAAGTTTTCCCTGTATATTGCAGGCTGATTTCAAACTAGCAATCCCCTGCTTCAGCCACCCAAGTGCTAGGGTTACAGGACTGCACATGTATGTCTGGCTTATTTCATTTTAGGCTCATAAAAGAGCTGCAAACAGCAAAGAGTCCCCAGGAATCCTGCCCACAGTCTTACCTCAAGGTCAAACATCTTATGTAACCACCAAACAAATTTTTTTGTTTATTTTAACCCCCTTGGTTTTTGTTTGTTTGTTTGTTTGGTTTTGGATTTCTGAAACTGGATTCCTATGTGTAGTTTTCTAGACCAGAGATCCGCCTGCCTCTGCCTCCCAAATACTGACATCAAAGGTGTGCATCACCTCAGTATCTCTCTGTGTGACTCAGGCTGGCCCCAAACTCTCCATCTTCTTGCCTCAGCCTTCTAAATGTTGTGATTATGGATGTGAGACGCCACAGCCAGCTTAGATACAAAGATGACATTCTTTTTTCTGGCACTAAGAAGGGAATCCAAGGCTATAGGTCCTTCAGTCTTTTTTGTTTTTTTGAGGCACAATCTCACTATATAGTCCAGGTTTGCTCAGAATGTTTACTCTTTCTGTCTCAATCTCCAAAGTGCTAGAACTATAGACATATACCACTGCACCCAAATGCCTTTGCAGTTTGAAAGGAATAGACAATTATATACCAAGGTTGTGACAGCTATCGGCTGTGCCACAGCCCTACTAGCCCTGGTAGTTATAACTTTTTTACTTTAGTTGTTTTGATATGCATACAGTAGTAGTAGTACCTGTACTTTAATGTTTCGTATGATAATGGAGCAGAACATTTTTCATACTTTTTCTTTGAGACAGGGTCTCACTGTGTAGTCCTGGCCATCCTAGAACTACTACCATCGCTCTGTAGACCAGGCTGCCCTTGACCTCCCAGAGATCCCCCTGCCTCTGCCTCCTGAGTGCTGGGATCAAAGGCATGTGCCACCAACGCCCGGCTGATTATTATTTTTAAGAGACCATGTAAGTCAACTTTTTAATTTTCTTTCAAGAGAATAGAACAAACCAGGGCTAAGGGTTAGGAGCCTGCCTTGCTACGGTTGAATTCAGCCCAATGGGAGTGTAAGAGGAGGGGCTCCTTTTTTGTTTTTTTTTTTTTTTTTTTTTGTTTTTTTTTTTTTTTTTTTTTTTTTTTTTTTTTTTTTTTTTTTTTGAGTTTTTTGAGACATGGTTTATCTGTGTAGCCCTGGTTGTCCTGGATCTTACTCTGTAAACCAGAACTTATAGTTCTGCCTCTGCCTCCCCAGTGCTGGAATTAAAGGCCTGCGCCACCACTGCCTGACTGGTATCTATTTTCTAATGTTCCTATGTTTTTATTTCATATGCATAATTATTTTCCTGCATGCATGCATGCAGGGCCTGGAAAGGCCTGAAGAGGGCATCAGAACCCTTGGAACTGGAGTTACAGCTAGTGGGAATTGAACCCAAGTCTTCTACAAGAACAGCCTTTGCTCTTAACTGCTGAGCCATCTCCCTAGACCCTTTAGTCTAGGACTAGAGGTCCCTAATTTTAAGTACAGTCCAATTTATCCTATTTAAAATTCATTAGTGCTTTGTTGTCCTGCTTGAAATACTGAATCATTCAAAGGCTCTTTATTCTGTTATCTTATTTCTCTAGCCCTTTTACTCTCTGATTTCTTTTAAAGATTTATTTATTTATTATGTATACAATGTTCTGTCTGCATGTATTCCTGCCGGCCAGAAGAGGGCACCAGATCTCCTTACAGATGGTTGTGAGCCACCATGTAGTTTCGGGGAATTGAACTCAGGCCCGCGGAAAGAGCAGCCAGTGCTCTTAACCTCTGAGCCATCTCTCCAGCCCCTCTGGTGTCTTTTTCTTGCTTTATTGAACTGGCAGGGATTGCTAGAAATTGTTCTTAGTGGACATCTTTGTCTTTTCCCCAGCCTCAGAGGGAAAGGTGTCCATATTTCTGTGGATCTTCTCTTGTGAGCTAAAGAAGTTCCTTACTCTTAATGGCTTGTGCTGTTTTTTCATTTTTCTGTGTGTTGACCTTCTTGCTGAAGTGTTTGTTGGTTTTTTGTTTGTTTGTTTGTTTTCTCTGTGTAGCTTTGGAACCTGTCCTGGAACTCACTCTGTAGACCAGGCAGGTCCCAAACTCACAGAGATTCACCTGTCTCTGCCTCCAGAGTGTTGGGATTAAAGGCGTGTGCCACCACTACCCGGCTCTTGCTGAGTTTTTTGTTGTTGTTTTTGTTTTTTGTTTTTTGGTTTTTTTTTTGTTTGTTTTTTTGTTTTTTGTTTTTTTGTTTTTCGAGACAGGGTTTCTCTGTGTAGCTTTGGAACCTGTCCTGGAACTAGCTCTTGTAGACCAGGCTGGTCTCGAACTCACAGAGATCTGCCTGCCTCTGCCTCCCGAGTGCTGGGATTAAAGGCGTGCGCCACCAACGCCCGGCTGAGTTTTTTTTTTTTTTTTAAAGATTTTATTTATTTTGTATACAACATTCTGCTTCCATGTATATCTGCACACCAGAAGAAGGCACCAGATCTCATTACAGATGGTTGTGAGCCACCATGTGGTTGCTGGGAATTGAACTCAGGTCCTCTGAAAGAGCAGTCAGTGCTCCTAACCTCTGAGCCATCTCTCCAGCCCCTCTTGCTGAGTTTTAACTCTGAGGTTTTTTTTATTGGTTTAATGTCACATTGCTGAATGTGTTATTTCTCCCTCAGTCCTCTTCTCTGGTTCTTCGTTCTCTTTCACTGGGGTGATCTTTGCTCATCACTGCCGGAAGTCTAGTGGTCTAAGTCAGGGATGTCATTGAAGTGATGGCTGGGGAGGACGCTGCTGAAATTTCCCTGGCTTAGCTGATCATGTTGATGGAGGTCACCTGACTCCAGCTCTGATCTCACTGCCAAAATCAGCATCTGCCTTGAGGTCCCCTCTTCCTTGACAGCTCCTGTACTGGGCTATCCTCTTCCTCCCTGCCACTGAACGTCAGCACCCCCAAAGACTTGTGACCCTCTTCTCTAATCAGCCTCCTCCTGCCCGACTCCTGCCCCATGCGTAGCCCCAGCCCCAATCCTTCTCTTACTCCAGGTCGGACATGTGGTTGTGCACAGAGGACTGATGGGCATCTCAGCCACATGTAGCCAGAGTGGCACTTAGGACTCTGCAGTCCCTTCTTTCCAGGCCTGAGAAGACAGTCACATCATCCACCTGGATGCCCAAACAAAACACCCATCTGTGTCCTCAGTGTCTCTCTTTCCCTTGCCGCCACAAATAAGCTGTCGGTAGTGAATCCTAAGTTGAAGCCTTAAAATATTGTCTGGGTTGTGGGCAGGTCAGTGCCTGCAGGATGTGCCCTGGGCTGCTGCCACCTCTGTGTTTGTGGTGGTCTTGGTGGCTGTACCACCAGGAGGGGAACGCAGGGTGAAGTGCTGAATCGAACATCCCACTGCATGCTACCGCTGTGACCAGAACTCTTTTCTCCTCCCCGCCTCGCTGGCCTGTCTGTCCGCGGGCCCCCATCTGCGACCACCCGCTCGCCTCTGCATGGCAGAAGTCCTCCAGCTCTGCGTCCTCCGAGGCCTCAGAAACCTGCCAGTCGGTTAGCGAGTGCAGCTCCCCCACCTCGGTCAGTGCCCTTGGCCCCAGTCCCATTACCATCACTAGCTGCCCACCCCATGCCCTCCTGACCTGGGGCAGTTTCTACAGCGGGGGCAGCCAGATTCAGCAGGGAAGCTGTATGTCCTGGCACTGTCTTTGTGATACAGCCACCCAGGCACTTGCTGTGGCCATACCTTTCTGTCTTGGAACACCCTGCCCTGCCCTGGGCTGGTGGAACAAAGCAGTCACTGCTGCCCACCAGATTCGGGCTTGAGCCCTGATTGTAAACAAGAGAACCCTCACAGATCAGTACCCCCTGAGCCTCAACCACAAAGAAGGGCCTCTTTGGTGATGGGCAATAAGGCCAAGGGTCCTTCTGACTTGCTTGCCATACCTTGCAGGACTGGACTAAGGCGGGTCCCCATGAACAGCCCTCGGCCACCACCCTGCAGCGGAGGAAAGATCGGGTGGAGCTCCTTCGAGACACTGAGCCAGGCCCTGCAGGGGGAAGTACTGTGGGCTCCGGTGGAGAGGAGGTACCACGTCCCCGGATGTCTCCTGCCACCATAGCAGCCAAAGTAAGTGGATAGCCAGCTCCCCAGCCAGGTCCCGCCTTCACCCCGGGTTAATGCCAGGATGCCCACAGGTGGTCTTCAGGGCCCACTTTATCCGCCTTAATGGAGCCACCTAGAGTCCCAAAAGAGGGTGGAAGTGGAACATCAAGCTCTTTAGTCCTCCACTTTGCCCACCCTCAGCATGGTGAGGAGGTGTCACCTGCAGCCAGCGACCTGGCCATGGTGCTGACCCGTGGACTGAGCCTGGAACACCAGAAGAGCAGCCGGGACTCTCTGCAGTACTCCAGTGGCTACAGCACGCAGACTACCACACCTTCATGCTCCGAGGACACCATCCCCTCCCAAGGTGGGCCTAGAGGCGTCCCACAGGCTGAGTGTGTTTGCTGGGCCTTCACAGCCCCAGGACCCACCCAACCCTGGACACCTGGGATGATGGTCCCACAGACGAGGCCTACCTTCCCTCTCTCTGTCTCCCTTGAGTAGATATGGGGTTCAGGGAGCACCTTGGCCCTGGGCTCATCACACCCTGTGTCTCCAGGCTCAGACTACGACTGCTACTCAGTGAATGGGGATGCGGACAGCGAGGGCCCCCCTGAGTTCGACAAATCATCCACCATCCCTCGAAACAGCAACATTGCCCAGAACTACCGCCGCCTGATCCAGACCAAGCGCCCAGCCTCAACTGCTGGGCTGCCCACTGCAGGGCTGCCCACAGCCATGGGGCTACCTTCAGGCGCACCTCCTGGCGTGGCCACCATCCGCCGCACACCCTCTACCAAGCCCACTGTGCGCCGCGCCTTGTCCAGCGCCGGCCCCATCCCCATCCGCCCACCCATCGTCCCTGTGAAGACACCTACAGTGCCCGACTCCCCTGGTTATGTGGGGCCCACACGGGCAGGCAGCGAGGAGTGTGTCTTCTATACTGACGAAGTGGCGTCACCTCTGGCTCCAGACCTGGCCAAAGCCTCCCCGAAAAGGCTCAGCCTGCCCAACACGGCCTGGGGCAGCCCATCCCCGGAGGCAGCCAGCTACAGCGGGGCTGGGGTGGGGCTGGCCGCTGAGGACGATGAAGAGCAGCAGCTGGCTGCCAACAGGCACAGCCTGGTGGAGAAGCTCGGAGAGCTGGTGGCTGGCGCCCATGCCCTGGGTGAGGGCCAGTTCCCTTTCCCTACTGCATTGTCAGCCACCCCTTCAGAGGAGACACCCACCCCACCCCCTGCTGCCACCAGTGATCCCCCAGCCGAAGACATGCTGGTGGCCATTCGACGCGGGGTCCGGCTCCGCAGGACCGTCACCAACGACAGGTCGGCACCCCGCATCTTATGATGGTGCCACCCTCCCCTCCCTATCTGGGCTGGCACACGTAGGTGGCCTGATCTGTGAGCAGCGGCCAGCCACTGAGCAGCGGCACAGCCAGAAGACAGAACAGCGCCAGGAATGAGGCACAGCCACTTTACAGAAAGACAACCAGGCTGATCTCAGCATCTCATGGGAAGTGACTTCCTTTACGCACCTCGCCAGGACAGAGCCTGTTTTATACTTTCCTTACCCACTCATCCTCCTTCCTGCAGGCCCTGCCTTGCCCAACCCCAGAGCCCATAACCAAGGGCTGGGCCTGCCACAACGGGCCCCACCTGGCCTGGGGTCCACAATTTTCTTCCTCTGGTCCTGCTGCCCCCCCCAGGGCCATGTGCCCGGCTCTTCCCTTGAATGCTGGCTCCCTCTTCTCCCTGCCTGGGCCCTGTCTCCTTTCTTCCTCTTGCCTTTACCCTGCCTCTCCCAGGCTCCACTCTTTTGGGGACAGGGTGGTCATGGAGGGGCCAGGTACCCAATCAGATGAGTATCAGTTTGTAACTGGGGTTAGGAAACCGTTAAGTCTTGGGAAGCCAGGCCCACTTGAGGGGAAGGGGAGCCTAGAGGGAGCAAATGTAGGGGCCTTGTCTCAGGGGACCTTCCAGATCCCCTCCTTGGGAGGAGTAGCTAGGGGAGGTGAGGCAGGATAGTGGGGGGATGAGGCCAGAGGCCCATACCAGGTGTTTCAAACATCCTGCTCTCCTCTGGACACTTTGAGGCTTTAACTTGAGAGCACCTTGGGGTTACAGTCTCGCCCATTGCTGGGGATAAGGGCTGGAGCATTAGAGGGTATGGGGGGTGTTAATTTTATGACTGTAATAAAATGGAGCTGACCCCAGACAAGAACTATGTGTGGGGCTAGCTGGTGGTACAGGGTGTGTGTCTTGAGTGCCTGAGAGACAGATGTGGGGGCCCCACGGTGGGCTCCTGGCAGAAGAAGGGTGGACTCAGCTCTCCCCAAATCAGGGGAAGCTACTCTTCTCTCCACTGTCTGGAGTGTTGGTAGAATAAGGCTGGAGAGGGTAGGCCAGGGGCCTCTGGGCAGTCTATGTGGTCTGAGTGAGCTGCAGGCCCAGCTTGGAGCAAGTCTTAGAAGGCTGGTTTTGACTTTCTGTTGCCAGTGGCAATGCCATCCCAAGAAAGTCATTGCTTGCAGGCCTGGCTGGGGCTGGCAGCAGGGGCCAGAGAAAGTGGGGACTGCCTCCACTGAGCAACCCAAGTCTGAGCAAGTCAAAGCACGTATGTGTAGGGCGAGAAGAGAGATTCAGGAGGTGCAGGTAGGGCAGGCAGCAAACTCTCCCACCCCACAGGGAGTCCAGAGAGTAGGCCTTGTTCTGGATGGAGCGGAGTTGGGGCTGATCTGGGCCCATGGTTCAGGGAGCTCCAGCGCCCATGAGACTTCTAGAGAATGAGTTCCGGGTCTGAGACCTGGCCCACTAAAGTAGATTGTCACCAGAGCCCCAAGTATAGAGGGCCAGGAAAGCAGATGGCCAGATGTGGAACCCTGAGGTAACATACTGGTTGCACCTTCCCCAACAAGGCTGTCAGAGAGCTGATGGGAAGGGATGCAGGATGTGGCCCCTACACCCAGGGTGTGGCTGGGTCCTGGAGGAGAGGGTGTTCCTGAGAGGGTGGGCTCACTGCCATCTGGGGGCTCTGAGCCCTGATGGGAAGGGAGGTCAGGGACTTTCCAGGAAGAAGATGGGGTGGCATACCCACCCCCACTCAGCCTTCCCTCCAGGGCTGTACATACTCCATCCCCTCGTCTGACCCACAAGTCCCTTCCCCCACTCACCTTCTCTTTAGTGTCTGCCTCTCACATAGGCCCGCCCTCGGGATCCGAGCCGACCATCCTGCGTCACAGACTTTGGTTTGGGGCTTCTTCACATACATTTTATTTTCATTTTGTACAGCAAAAATATTCTTTTCAAATGTGTCTTTTGACTGAAGTAACTTTTCTGGTGCTGTTAACGTTTCCTTTTTTTTTTTTTTTTTAATTTATTTTGCCACCCTCCTGGTTCCTTCTTACCCTCTCCCCTCTACCTCCCATCCTCCATCCCACCAGAACCACTTTTTTTTTTTTCTTCTTTCTGTCAAGTTTTGGATAAATTCTCCTACCCTCCCCCTTTTCCATCCTCTCCTTGATTTAAATAGTCACTGCTACAAGTAACAAATGCACTGTGAAGATTCCAGTATTAATAAAGTGGTACTGTAGTTAACACCCTGGCCCCTGCCTGGCTTCCCTGGGCTGCTGTGGCTCACTTGCTCTGCTTCCCACCCCTGCATCCTGACCTGGGGCTCCAAGCCAGGTGACACTGATAGAAGTGGGGGAATTGGGCAGAGACCTGGGTTGGGCCTTGAAGTGCTCCCACTAGGTCGTGGGGGACACCGGAGGGAGAGAACAAACATGGTCAAGGAGGTACCTTGGCACCCCAGCAGACATTATTCAGGCCTGCTGACATGTCAGAACACAGCTGAAAGAACTGATGAGTACTCAGTGGCCCTGGGGAAGGCTCTGCCCACTGCAACTCGACACTCAGTCCCAGCCCAGGCAGGCAGAAGCAAGCCCACCCTCGGTCTCCAGAACTCAGCCCCTCCAGGTTCACCCTCACAGATGCAAGCCAAACCAAACAAGTGGTCATTTAATAGAACCAGAAGAGCACTGCTGTGGCAAGATACGGCGTTTGGTCGGTCCTCGGCCCAGCACCCGGCATTTGGCACAACTGCAAAGCCCCAGTGAGTCCCAGAACTCGATGTGGCACCCCATCTCCAGCCACCCACCTGTGGGGCAACAGCATTTGAAGATTTCAGAGCCAGTCACAGGTAGGGGTGGCTATGGGGGCAGCAATCAGCTTTCCCCTCCACACCGCTCCCCTGAGGCTCCAGGTGGTTATCACATAGGTACAAAGGGCAGGAAGCTGAGCCTGGCTGTGGAAGAGAAGGCACAATGCCATTCCCAGGAGGCCTTCCCTGCAGGTCTACCGACCCACCATCCCAGAAAGTCTCAGACCCAGGCCAGTTCCCGGAACACATCCAATGGCCCAACCTAGGGTCACCACCCAGACTACTCAGGGCAATGGACCATGGCTTGAGCCTGGGGAACTGGGCAGGGAGGTGGGGGACTGCCGAGGCAAAGGGTAAACGTTGGCAGCTGCACATTGCATCAAGGACCCTGGACTGTGGGCATGGAGACTCGGCAGCTCACAGTCCTGCCATTTTAGGATAGGACTTTGTTTACCTGCAAAACAGAAAGAAAAACAAGCACTGCAGGACAGAACTGCCAAACCACACATTCTTGTCTCCACACTCTAGGTCCATTCCCAGCTTCCAGAAACAGCCTGTCAATCAACAAAAGAGCGCATCCCCAAAACAGTGTGAACTGTGCCCACAGTTGACCTACTGTTGCCAACCCCATCCACAGGGTTTCCTTACAGCAAGAGCAGTACAGCAGCTCCATGACCCGGAAGCAGTTGTCCAGCAAGGCTTTGGGCCGCACCAGCTTCAGGCTTAGGCCTGGGGTACTCAGAAGAGATAACACAGCTTCCACCTGAGGGCCAATCTCCACATCCTGGAATAGGGGAAACCGTCAGGACAAGTAAAGAGAGAGGGACCCCCACCACATGAGAACCATGGCAGCTGTCTAGCCTGGAGATGTTTCAACAAAATACAGCTTCTAGGGATCAGAAGGCCATGAGGGTCCCTATTGTCACCCCTCACAGAGGCTTCTGCTTCTTTGTCATCAGAAAATAATCACAGAGCACAGGCCAGCACAGGGAGAAAGCTGGAACCTACTTGTCCTCCAGCAGGCATGGTCACCAGCCTCCAACCCGGGAAACTGTCCATCAGAAAGCAAAGCCCTCTGCCTACAGAATGAGAGAAACCCCTGAGGATCCCTGAGGTGTGAGTCATGCAGGCAGAGGTGAACATGCAGCTCTAACCTCAGATAATCTCTCGTCACATTGTCACAAAGCTTAGCAGAAAAGACAGTGTGGAGGGTGCTGTTGGCCCTGGACTTCCAAGGCCACTTTAAAGCATCATGGGAAAGGTAGGGCCTGAACTAAAGGACAACCTTCCCAAAGACGGCAGCCCAGGCAAAGCCCTGAGATAAACTCTGCCCCAAGCCCTCCAAAATAGCGTCAGTCCTACCCTTCCATACCTGTGAGCGTGACCCCTTTTGGAAATTGGGTAGAAGTAACCAAGGTTCTCAAGTTTGCATCATTGTGTTTTTAGAGTGGATGCTAAATCCAATGACTAATTGGTGTTTCCCCTCTCGGTGCTGGGAATAGAAGCTAGGGCCTTATGCATGCTAGACCAGCTCTTTATATCCCCAGCCCTGGGATGTTTATAGAGAATGGTCAGGAAGACAGAGAGGTGCCACCCAGAGCCATATGAGAAAAGTCACGAAGAGGGGGGACCTGGCAGAAGCCAAGAGAAAATGAGACAGGTCAGAGTGATGCTGCCTCTAGCCAAGAATAGGACTCACCACCTAAGGCTGGGAGAGCAAAGAACTTTCAGGGGAAACTGGCCCTGCCAAGATCTTGATTCTGGACTTCTGGTTTCCAGGAGTTTGGTTTAAGTTTGAGCTAATTCATGACAGCAGTCTAGAAAAGTTATGGCCAAAGGTGGAATGAGGATGTTAGAAGGGAAAGGAAGTCCAGCCCACAGCCTGGTTCCTGTCTGGAAAGAATGAAGATGCCCAAAACATATATATGTACCCTTGCCTAATGACAACTACTGCCACCAAGGGCCACGGAGTGACCATCAGAGACACTCAAAGTCAGAAACAGCAGGCAAGAGATATTCTTCCAAAAACAGAAGAACAGCCTAAAGCTGGACGTGGTGGCATACACCTGTAACCTCTTCCTCAGGAGGCTGAGGGATGCAGAAGGAGCATAAGCCTGCTCCAGAGTTGACAAGAATGAGACCTTGACTCTACAAACAAAACAAAAAAACCAGCAAAAGCTAACCAGCAGTTCCTCAACAAGCTTAACACAGTATCAGTATCACCACATGACCCAGTGGTCACAGCAGTGTCATGTGGCCCAGCGATTCCACTGTTAAGGCACTTTTCTTTTTTTTTCTTTTTTTAAAATATTTATTTATTTATATATAGTTATTATATTATTATATAGACAGTGTTCTGCTTCAGGTCAGAAAAGGGCACCAGATTGTATTACAGATGGTTGTGAACCACTATGTGGTTGCTGGGGATTGAACCCAGGACCTCTGGAAGAGCAGCCAGTGCTCTTAACCTCTGAGCCATCTCTCCAGCCCCTTGTTATACCTTTCCTGAGTGCTGGGATTAAACATGCTCCTTTATTCCTGGTTCTTGTTTTGTTTTTCAGACAAGGTCTGGATCCATAGCCTAGGCTGGCTCTAATTTTACAAATCTCCTGCCACACCCAGCCTACAAAGTGTGGGATTAGAGTCTGTTCAACTTTGTCAGATTCAATAGATAAAGTTAGAAAACTTTACCTAAGAGCAAGCAACCAGACACAAACAGACAGATGGTGTATGACCCATCTTAGAAGCTATACCAAGAAAAGCAAGTACATAATAGGAAAAAAATACAGATTATAGGTTACTGGGGGTGGGAAGATGTAAAAAATGACTGTTTCCTGTATACAGTTTTTGTAAGGTGTTGGAAGAGAGTCAGAAATGGGCATGGTGAGAGATGCATAACCCTGTAAGTATAATTAATGCCACCAAACCGTCAACTAAAAATAGTCAAAACAGCAGGCTTTATGTTGTAAAGTGTGCTACTTCTTAACATAGCCTCCAGGTCTCTATCAGACTGTTTTTAGTTGCCTTTTTCTTAAATTACTTTTTTTCCTTATTTGTTTTTTTTTTTTTTTTTTTTTTTGTGTGTGTGTGTGTGTGTGTGTGTGTGTGTTCCACGTATATGTGAGTGCCTATGGGGGCCAGTAGAGGGTGCTGGATTGCCTGGAGCTTGAGTTGTAAGCCAACTGACTTGGAAGCTAGGATCCACTCCAAGAGCAGCAAGTGCTCTTAACCACTGAATCATCTTCCCAGGCCCAGTTTCTTATGGAAGCAATGAAAGCTGAGTAGAGATCAGAGTAATGCAGAACCCAGAGTCCAGAAATCTTCCAGTGAATGAGGAGATAGGATTGGGTCATCAAATCCACATTTTATGGCTGGATAAGATTTAGGTTTCAACCCTTTCCTCTATAAGTGATAACCTACAAGCCCAGGAGTGAAACAACTTGTTCAAGGTTATACGGTTGGAAACAGCTAGTGTTCAGGTCTCAGGACCTGACCTCTTACATCACAAACTACTGTGAGCAAAGAAGGTAAGTGCAATGCATCTTCAAAGGCAGGACACAGACTATTAACAGTGTTAGAAGAAAGGAAGATTAAAGCTGGCTGCAGAGCTGGCATAGCTCAGTGGTAGAGGGGGTACCTAGTGTGCTGGCTCAATTTCCAGCAGGGGGAGGGGAAAGGAAAGGGGTCAGATCCCGCTACATCTGGATAATAAAACCATCTCTGTGTTCAGTGCTTCTGTATAGAGAGCCCAGGACCAGGTCTGGAGGACTGCAGTCCTCATACTCTCCTCCCGGCCTTGCTCCCACAAACCTTCTGGAGTCTGTTCTATGAGTAAAACAAAGGCAGAAAAAGTCTTTTCCTCAAGCCAGATGAGTTTGCCAGGGACACACATATTGCCCTCAAGTGCAAAAAGGCAGGTTCCTATGACCTCCTTGGCAGGAACTGGGAGAACCATCAGGAGTGGTTCTAGACAGCTATGAAAACAGTCCCTGCTGTGAGCTCGCAGTTGGTGTCAGATGGCTCTGGGCTAGGGAGGCCAGGCAGCTGGCTGAGCAGGGGGCCACATGTTTGTCCCAGCAGGTGCACACCAAGGGCCCAAGGACATGTGACTATGCCTGCCACTTTGCAACTCAGGAGTCTTTTTAGTTGACTATCCGATGGTTGGGGGTTTGTTTTCAAGACAGGATCTCACTAAGCCCAGATCAGCTTCAAACTTGGCATCTTTCTTCCTCGGCCTCCAGAGGACTGGGTCACAGTCATGCCACACCATGTCATTTCCCTTCAGTTTTTTTCTAAACCAACTCGTAGTCATTAGGGTTTACCCGAAGGGTTACATGGGTTTTTTGATTAAAACATAATGTCATGGTGATCCGTGATTATTACGCAGAATAGTTTCAAAACTGAAAATTCCTGCCACTCAGCTCTCTTCCTTCCTGCCCCTCTAGGGGAGCCTCACTTTTCAGATGCAGAAGTGATGCCAGAGGGTTCCCTGGCTTGTCTAAGACTCAGGGCAGGAGAGGCAAAGCCTGATCTACATAGCCAATTTCAGGCCAGGCAGGGCTTCACAATGAGACTCTGTCTCTAAACAAACAAATAAATAAATGCTGTCTTCAAACTACAATGTGCCCCACGTTCCCGCGGACTCGCTGTAGCTCTGGTTGCCTGCACAAGGCCTGTACAAAGTCAAGCCAGCATTACTAGTGAACAGTTCAGCGGGCAGTACTAATTGGACTTGGTGGGTTACAAAATAAAAATGACCGTAATAAAATCAAAATATTTCGCTGGGCGTTGGTGACGCACGCCTTTAATCCCAGCACTCGGGAGGCAGAGACAGGTGGATCTCTGTGAGTTCGAGGCCAGCCTGATCTCCAGAGCGAGTGCCAGGATAGACTCCAAAACTCCACAGAGAAACCCTGTCGCGAAAAAAAAAAAAAATCAAAATATTTCAAGTTAAAAAAAAAATCTCATGTAAGCCTGAAACAAGGTCCCAGGTTCCTCTTGACCCTCATCCCAGAGCCCTTGCTTGTGGTGTCTTGGCCCCTCCTCCTTCCTTGGTTATGTTGTCTGCACACCATCCCTCATGACTCCTACCTCCTCAGCACATGGCAGAACTTTCCCTTCCCAGCCCTTTGCCTGCATCTGTCAGACCCGCACGGACTTGCACACAGCTCACCACGAGGCTCCGCTGAACATTCTCCAGCAAGGTCTGAACCTCCTGCAGATACTGCCAGGATGGGTGGCCCTCGAGCAGCACATCCAACACAGACTCGGTGGCATTGAGACTCACCAAGACCCACAGATACCTCAGCTCTCGTTCGCTCACACGGGCCTTCTGCTGCAGGGACAGGAGAGGTCACTGAAATGCAAGCTAGGCCTTTGGGCTACGACCACACCCCATGGACTTGCCACTGCATGGGAGCAGCCACAGTCAACCACTGTGCCAGCAGACAGCCCTGGGCCTAGGTCAGCCACAGGTTTGCTTGGATAGCTAGGAAAGGCCCCTGGTCAATAGGACAACCTGCCAAGGACCCACATGCTTCTGAGGGCATCATGCAAGGCAGAGACTCCCCATCCCAGGAGGGGTCCTCACCAGCCTCGTGATGTTGGCGACTCTGAGTACTCCCTCATAAGGCACAGCGACCCTGTAGTTGATGGGGAAGTAATGTTTCTGGGGAGAAACAAAGCGTGAGATTAGAGGCAGAAATGGCTTAGACAGAACCCCCAAGAGGGACCCAGCCTAACTGTGAGGGCAGACAGATCCTCTATAGAGGAAACAGCCTTCTTTCCCCTGAGACAAAGGGAGGGTGAAATCAGATACACAGCTCTGTAAGGTCTGAAGTTTCTGGCCCTGGTATGGACCCAGGGCTTTCAGAAAGACATGTTGCTTTGGAGGTTAGGAATATGGTTCAACTGATGTTTACAAAGGTAACCTTTGCACAGCTCTGTGAACACACTAAACACCAATGAGTCTGACAGCTTATTATTTATTGTTATTGTTAATAGTGTGTGTGTGTGTGTGTGTGTGTGTGTGTGTGTGTGTATGTGTGTGTGTGTGTAGGCATGCACATGCCTTGGCACTGATGTGGAGGTCAAAGGATAAGTCTCAGGAGTCAGTTCTCTCCTTCCACCTTTATTTGGGTTCTGGGAATTGAACCCTGGTCATCATACTTGTATAGCAGGTGCTTTTATTCAATGAGCCATCTCACCAGCCCGTGTTGTATGCTTTCAGCTAGTGGGTTGTATAGTATATGACATCTCAACAGAGAGAGTCTCAAAGATAATCCTAAAGAGCTGGGCATGTACTTGTAATCTCAGCACTTGGGAAACTGAAGCAGGAAGATCTCAAGTTCAAAACCAGCCTCTCCAACATAATGAGATCCTATGTCAAAAAAGCCAAACAAGGGCTAGGGATGGGGCTAGGGATAGTAGTGTGCTTGTCTAGCATAGACCAGGCTCTGGTTTGCATAAGGTGTCATCACTGTGTGGCACCCATCTGTGATCCTGGCCCTCAGAAAGTAGAAGCAGGGGAATTAGAAGTTCAAGGCCATCCTCTCTAGGAAGTAAGTTCAAGACTGGCCTAGGATTAAAAAGTCTTAATTAATTAATTAAGTCTTAAAAAAGAAAAAAAGAAAGAGAAAAACAAACAAGCAAATAAAAATCTAGCCATGTAGAAAGCCTGCAACACCATGTGGACATCTCTAGTCTCCAAAAGCAACCACATTTTCTGACTTGAAGGTCTTTGTCTCCTCCACTAAGATTCCCCCAATGAGTCAAAGGAGACCTTTTCTGAGTTATAGGATGGAAGCCATATGAAAGTATGCGTAAAAGGTCAGTGAAGGCCGGGCGTTGGTGGTGCATGCCTTTAATCCCAGCACTCGGGAGGCAGAGGCAGGTGGATCTCTGTGAGTTCGAGGCCAGCCTGGTCTACAGAGCGAGTGCCAGGATAGGCTCCAAAGCTACACAGAGAAACCCTGTCTCGAAAAAACAAAACAAACAAACAAACAAACAAACAAACAAAAGGTCAGTGAAGGAGTGGGAGCAGGAGACGGTGGGAGGTGATACACACATTGGTTATGTGGCAGACAACGGGGGACAGTGCTACTGTAACCTTGGGGCTGACATATCTGGGGTGGGGAGTAAGCAATGCTCCAGGTGAGCCTTGGGACTTGGAAATAGGGACCATTTGGTGCACTTCTGGTTACCATGTACTGAAGCCGGTTTCTGTACTGCAGCTTGACCCGAAGGTAGCCTGTAAGGTCACACTCCTTATCTTGGGTCAGAGTCCACATCTCCAAATTCTGGTTCCCCAAAGCCAGGCCAAGTAGGATCCCAAGACCTGTGGGCCACACCCAACAAAGCCTATGAGCGCCTGGCACTATGTCTGTACTCCCCCTGGTGTGCGTAGCTGCATCAACTGTCATCCGTTTTCAAGGGTGACAAGTACTGATGAGAAAGACAGGTGCCCTGAAATAGCGAGCACACCCTACCCCTGGTCAGCAGAGTCTCAGGGAGACACCCAAACTCTGGTTTCCAGTCTCCCCTAGTTCCTGCTTTGTGGGATTAGTACAATGTCCCTGATCCAGGGCACCCTCAGCCCCTTTCTGGTCAGGAGTGGCAGATTTCAAAGCCATCGCTTGATTTCCCTTTAAAGTTTTGGATATGAATTCTAGTTCCAGATCTTAAAATGGCTTTTGATGTGCCAAAGACTTTCTTCTATGAGATATATGACCTTGATATTCTTCTCCATTAGACGTAGCAGCAGGTCTATAGCTCCTTCCAATCTGATGGCTCTGGGATGCTAAACAGACCTCACACACCCCTGTCCCAACAACAAATCACGGGCAGTCTTTTGAAACAGTACCAGTAATTACCACTAGGCGTCACTGTAGCCTCAAAAACAACTCTCGGGATCTGTACACTTGAACAGAAAAAAAAATGATTTGAGAGAACTTACAATCAATATGAATAGGGGTCAAGTGGATGAGAGAAACATGAAAAATAAAGTGATACCAAAGGGCCAACCTCACTATTAGAAGAAATAGATTCAAATGAAAACAATTGGATGCAATCGGTAGCCAGAGAAACAGATACACACAAAGCCAAGCAGGGCTTACCCCGTGACAAGGAAATGGAAAGGTTTTTATAAGATAATTTCATTTTAATAATCCTGATGCTGCCAAAAGAGTTCTCAGCCTGGAAATACACTTGGCACATTTAATAATAAATGGATTTAAACTCTACAACATTTGACCCACTGACTGTGACCCACTAAACTCATAAACTAGAAAGAAAACAGGAGATTTATGGACAAAGACTTACGCAGCAACATTATTCCTTTTTATCATTTATTTACTTATGGGGGAGACTGCTCATTGTTCTATATGCTGTGGGGAGTACTTAGGATATGTTTAACGACCCTCTTAAGGGACTACGAGCCAACAATGTCATTGATGCATAGGACAACTGTAGACTTACCAAGTGATTTCCTGTGCTTTGGAAAATGAGATGCAAATAAATATGTCAAATTTATGCAGGAGATTATTACACTATTGCACTCATCATTATGTTCTAGAGCATTTTTTTAATGCTCTCCGGTCAGCATCTTTTTTTTTTTTTTTTTTAACATAGTCTCACTATACAGCCCAAACTGGCTTGAACTCCCAGAGATCCACCACCTTCTCCTTCCCGGGTGTTGGGATTTCTTTTTTTTTCCTTCTTCTTCTTTTTTAAAGTTTTTCAAGACAGGGTTCCTTGTGTAGACCTCTGCCTCCTGAGTGTCACCATGCCCAGCTTACTATCTATTACTGCTGTTTTCAAAACCAATAATTATCCTTTACCTTTTCTTTTTCAGATTTTTGTTTGTTTGTTTTTCTGAAACATGTTTTCTCTGTGTAACAACTCTGGCTGTCCTGGTACTAGTTCTATAGACCAGGCTGGCTTCGAACACACAGTGATCTCTGCCTCTCAAGTGCTGAGATTAAAGGCGTGCACCACTACTGCCTGGTGCCTTTTCTTTTCTTTCCTTTTCTTTCTGTCAAGATAGCCAGGAAGGCAGAGTCCCCTCCCCAAGTCTGTCATAAATTGTCATTATTAATTGGGTTTCTCCCCACTCTCTTCCTGCCACCTTGCAGGTTTTTGTCTGTGTATCTCCACTGGCCTGAGCCTTGCTCCCCTCCCCCTCCTCGTGACCCACCCTACTTGTTCCCACTTGCTAGACCAAGTTCTGCTTAGGCCCTGCACTCCATATGAGCCACAGCTACTGCCCTCCCCACCTGCAGAACTCTGACAACCTCTTTCTTACAGAAGGCAAGTTTTCAAGAATAATGCCTCTAACACAGTATTGGGCTGAAGGAACAAATAAACACAACCAATATGTGGCCAACAAGATGGGTAAAAAGGGGCTTGCCACCAAGCCTGATGACCTGAGTTCAATCCCCAGGAACCACATGGTAGGAGAGAACTAACTCCTGCAAAATTTCCTTTGACTTTCACAAAGGTGCCATGTCACGCAAATCCCCTCCTGCACAAAATAAATACTTTATAAGAGAAATTTAAGGAGGTGGTGGTGGCACACACCTTTAATCCCACCACTCCGGAGGCAGAGGCAGGCAGATCTTGTGAGTTTGAGACCAGCCTGATCTACAAGAGCCAGTTCCAGGACAGCCTCCAAGGCCACAGAGAAACCCTGTCTCGAACCCCGCCCCACACAAAAAAAGAGAAATTTAAATAAAAATAAATAAGCACAGTTCTGGGCGCTTTGATATGCTTTATCACCAAGTCTCCCAAACCCACACCTAGCCTACTCCTGGAACCATCTGAGGCTTTTGCTCCTGGTCTGCCCCACCCTGGATGTCCCCACCAGTACCACTCGCCTGGGTCACTCATCATCTGGTCAGGTCATAGAGTCCTGGACTCATGGAAAACTAAAGCTATAACCACAGCGTGACCTTGGGGACTGAGCTTTCACACTCGAAGGGAGAGGTGGCTCTGGGAATGGAAATGAGACCAGGCCCCTGAATCCCCCAGGGGTTGTCTGAAGTGCAGGTGGCCCAGCTCAGCCCACATTTCTGCTCCCACCGGTAGAGAAGGGACCTTTGTAGCACACTCCTGGTTGAGACAAGTGCCACTGGGTCCCTTGTAAACTGGTATCACAATAGCTACATCTGGTCCACAGGGCTGCACATTAAAAAGAAAAAGAATCTCCATCTTGGGGAGGGGGAGTTGCCTGTTTCTATCCACAATGGGTCTTCCTTCGAATCAGCAGCCACTACAGGCTGCCACCACTCCACCAAGTCCCACCCCAGGGACTATGCCCCTTTGCAGGACTCTGGCTTTACCAAATGTGTCCTTAGGAGGTCTGTCCTGGGTGGGTTTATGATACAAGCTTGAGTTGTCTGGGAAGAGGAACCCAAACTGAGAAAAAACACCTCCAGCAGATTGCCTGGAGGCAATTTTATGGCATTTTTTAATTAATGATTGGTGTGGGAGGGATCAGTCCATTGGGTGAAGTGTTACCCCTGTACGGTGGTTCTGAGCAGTATAAGAAAGCATGCCAAGACAGGCAGTGGTGAGACGTGCCTTTAATCCCAGCAGAGGCAGTGGATCTCTGTGAATTCGAGGCCAAACTGGTCTACAGAGCTAGTTCCAGTACAGCCGGGGCTGTTAACAGAGAAACCCTGTCTCAAAAAAACAAAGAAGCAGGCTGAGCAAGCCATGGAAAGCAAGACAGTAAGCAGCACTCCTCCATGGCCTTTACTCCAGTTCCTGCCCTGACTTTCCTCCACAATAACTTCAGCTGTAAGATGAAATAAACCCTCTCCTCACCAAGTCACATTTTAGTCATGGTGTCTCATCACAGCAATGGAAAGCAAACTAAAGCTGGGTGGTGGTGATGCACATCTTTAATCCCAGCACTCAGGAGGCAGAGACAGGTGGATGTCTCTGAGTTCTAGGACAGCCTTGGTCTACAGAGTGAGCTCCAGGACAACCAAGGCTGTTACACAAAGAAACATAAAAACTAAAAATGTCATGAAAAATAAAAAAGAAGAAGGCAAACCAAGACATGGTCTTAGAACAGCCATAGCAGCTAGGCCTGGCCTGGCTGCCATGTAGGCTGTTCCTAAAAAGTCTGTCCATAGGTGACCTGCCTTCCCTAGATGAGACACACTTGCAGCCCAGTAACTATTTCTAATTGTATGTATATGTTCTGCTGCCTCCACCAGGAGAAACTGGAGACCAGGGAGGGACAGCATAGCTGAAAACTCAAGACTAGCTCTGACCCTCGTGCTTTGCGTCCCAGGAGCTACATAGCCTGTGTCCCACTGACCCTGGTCAGGAAGCTGTCCTGTCGCCTCCTCCTTCCAGAGTTAAGAACCAGGAGGCAGAAGCGCAAGCTAAGGAGCAATCAGTGTAAGGCTCTCTCTGGCCCAGACACTGGTGGAGGAAGAGAGCATCTGTGCCCCCCAACAAAGTAGCCATTTTTGCAGGGATAAATGAGGCTTGTCACCTCCATCCCCACTGACCAATGTGAGACTGTATAATGGGGTGAATAGCATCTCTTATTCACCTGTAATCTCAGAATGACTTTATTTGGAAATAGGCTCTCTGCAGGTGTAATTAAAACAAAGGCTCTTGATGTAAGGTCATCGTGGGCTTAGGGAGAGCCAAGACCCAATGACTGGTGTTCCAGGAGGAAGACCTGGAGGAGGGAAAGGTCTTGCAGATGGGGGTGGTGTGCAAATTGGCAATGCTGCCACATGCCAAGGAACACATGCCAGGGAGCCACAAAACTCTGGAAGAGGCAGGAAGACCCTCCCCTAGAGCCTTCAGAAGCTATGGTGATCAGTGGCCCCAGTTTCAGACTTCCAGTCCCTAGAACTAGGAGAAAATACATTGACAGAGCTGAGTCACAAATTCATGATGAGATGTTAAGGAAGCCCAGCATCCCCCAGGATCTTCAGAAACCCTGCAAGGCGGCCCCTGCCCTGCCAACCTCTCGCCCAGCTTGTCTTTGCCAAGCCCTGAGAGATGCCCTCTAAAGCTCCCCTCCTGCTAGCATTCCTTTCCAGCCTCATTTCTCCTCAGACAGGCCTAGTGAGATGGCTCAGCCAATAAAGGTACTTGTCATCAAACCCAAGGACCTGAGTTCAATCCTCAGGACCCACATGGTGGGAGGAGAGAACAGACTCTCTTTCTTCTGCCTTACAGACACACACCATGGTACACACACACACACACACACACACACACACACACACACACACACACACAAGTAAATAAAGGTGATTCACTTGGGGCTGGAGAGGTAGCTTAATGGTTCAAAGAACTTCCTGCTTTTCTAGAGGACCCAAGCTCAGTTCCCAACACCATGTCAGGTGGCTATAATGCCAGCTCCAGGGAGATCTAACCCCTCTGGCCTCCAAGGGCATTAAGCACTCTTGTGTACATACCCACATAGTGTCACATAATTAAAAACAATAAAACCTAATCTTTAAGTGCAATCACTTTAACTCGAGAACTGACCCTCAGCTCTGTAATCCCTCTGCCTGGTGTTCAAGGCTTGGGGAACCTGCCTTTCCAGCCAAGCCCCACCCAGCTCCACCACATTCACACACAGTCTCTGCTTGGAGCACTGTCCCCGCCATCCATCTATCAGTGTGACTGCCACCTAGTCTTTGAGTCCTCCTCAGGAAGACTCTCACCCATGCTACTATCCCTGTTCCATTAAGATGTGGAAGCTTCCAGAACACTGGGTCTGACTGGGTCCTTCGCCCATTCTGAATGCCCCCACCCTTTGTAATATCCAGGGACAGAATGTGCCCAGCGCCTCTCTGAAGACTTGTGGGTTCCAGCCCCTGCCCTCATTTATTTGGAGTAAATAACTTCAAGTCACAGTGAGGATGGGGGGGTGCAAAGCAGGTAAGGTCCTTGTCATGACAATGACTCTGCACTAGCCCTATGGCTGCCATTTGGTCTTGGAGTCTGTTGTGTAGGGTCTCAGCCTGGCTTCCCACCCAGCAGGCATAGACATTCCTCCAGGTCCTTTACTCTTTTCTGTCCACATCGCAACTCATTTTTCTTTTTACCAGGAACGTTATTTTCTTTCTGCCTTTTAATTTTGACCTGAAATAGAGGTAGGGGTAGAGGGGGCTGGCTGGCTTCCTTCTCCAGGCCTCCCCTGTCCCATGTGTCATGCCTTCCCTACCCCCACTAGCCACACCCAGGAGGATGGAAATCCTCTCTCTACAACCTCTGTCCCCACCCTGTACCCTAGAGCCAATGAAACAACAGAGGTGAGAAGCTGCCACCCACCCCAGTGCCTGCCCCATCCAGCATCAGCTGCACCCACTCAGCTTGTACATCTGAGCCTGAGGTCAGAGGCCGGCAGAGCAGAGGGTGGCCATGGATCCCCATTCCCAAGGCTGCCTGCAACCCTCTAGGAAGCATCTCAACTTCTTACCAACAAGAACTGCCCTGGTTGCTATGGCTACAGCAAAGCCACCCACCCACCAAGGCCTCCCAGGACAGGATCCCCAGATATAACCCCCCTTCCCCCCAGTACTCACAGTATAACCAGGCGAGTCCCCAGGGCATGATGGTGCACTGGGTGCCCCCTGAGAGCAGAGGCACTGTCCCCAGCAGTGTGTCCAGAGGCCTGAGCTGGGACCTACATGGCCTCAGGTCAGCAAAGGTGGCCACCAAGTCGGGAAGGGCTGGCCCAGGCTGAGAGGGGGCAGGTACTCCTGGGGTAGCTACCGCCCTATCTGCTTGGCAGGGCGGAGGACAGCCAGGGGGCGGTGGCTGCCAGTCCCATTGCAGCTCAGGAGCTGGTGTGAGACAGTGGCTTTGGGGTCTCGGAAGGAGGAGGAGGAGGAAGAGAAGGGAGTCCCCAGCAGGCCTCTTGGAATCTGGGGCTGGGTGGCGCTTTCTCTGGTTTCTCCGACTGCAGCTGCTCAGTGTGAAGTCTAGCTCTGGAAAAAGAAGGAGGAGAGAGACGGATTATGTAAGAGCAAGGCTGCCACTCAGCCACCAGCAGGAAAGGAAGACCCACCATGTACGCTGTCCCCGCTGCCAGTACTGAGACACCCAGCCCCGTCTTCACACACAAGAAATGACTCCAGGGCAGGGCACCTCAGCAACTGCCTGGAGCCCAAAAGTGAGTCTACAAGTCAGGACGGACTGGCAGCCCTGCGCTGGGACTAAAGGAGCAGTGGCACTTACAAGCCAGGAGGCTGCCTGGAGGCGGTGAGGTGCCTGGTCAAATCTGAGTGGCATGCTTCAGGGGAGGCTGAGGAGCAGATGTCTCACCCTGCGTTCACTGTCACTTGGCTCCTTTCTGTCACCATCTGTGTCTTTTGCCAGGTAAAAACTGATGGGCCAGTTTAATTTGAATTCCAGATAAATGAACAGTTTTTCTGGTGAAGTATTTGATGTGTAATATTGTAGGTACCAAATATTGCATGTGGCGTTCTTACGCCAATAAATAAATAAACACCATAGTCAGCTGTTGTAACACAACAAACAGGGAAGTCACGGCACTCTAGAGGCTGAAACAGGAGGATGAAGAGACCAGATGGGGCTGCATAGCAAGACTCTGTCTCTAAAAGGCAAACAAAAGACAGGGTGTGGTGAAGCACATCTTTAATCCCAGCAAAGCAGAGGTAGGTGGATCTCTGAGTTCAAAGCCAGCCTGGTCTACAGAGTGAATTCCAGGACAACCAGGGCTACGCAGAGAAACCCTGTCTCAGAAAAACAAAACAAAAAGTATGTGAGAGGAATTCAAGCCTGGCCTGCTGGTGATTAGCACTGAAAGTCAACATCCCCATAGAGCCTGCCCACTCCCTCACTCTCCCAGGCCCAGCAAATTGTGGGCTGTGGTTCCATTTTGCAGATGAGGCCATCAACAGAGACAGCTCAGGAACTGGATTTCTCATCGGGCTCTATTCCATCCTTTCGAGATTTCCCCTTCCTGTATCTCAACCCGAGGGAGGGCGCGGGGTGGAGGGTGGTGAGGGGGAGGGGAGGAGCAGGGGTGATGGAGGAGAGAGATGCTCTCCATCCTGGCATCTGTAACGTTCCTACAGAATGTACTAAATTGCTGGCCCTTGGGCTGGGGGTGGCTTTAGTGGTAGAGAGCTTGTGGGGTTTGCAGGGGGCCCCAAGGCCAAGCCCCAGCAGAGAAGAAGCGAGGAAGTAGGAAGCCCAAGGCCAGTCTGGGCTGCCCCAGGAATTTTTGGCTAAGGCTAGCTTGGGCAACATAAATATGGGCTACATAGTAAGACCTTGTCTAAAACAGTGCAGCAGACATGCCAGCCCTCCTCCTCAGAGCCCCTGAAGCAGACAGGGTCGCACACAAGGAAGCACATTGCTCAGATTTACCCTGGGTTAAGACTCTGAACCTCAGCCCTGCTCCCTCCCTCTTCTGACCCTCCCCTTGCTCCTCCTCCTTCTCCCCCAGCCCACCCTGGTGACCTTCCTATTATAGGGCCACTATGCGCACTACACTAGCTATGCCCCTCAGGACATAGTCTCAAGCCAAGGGTGACCTTGAACTGATCTTCCGGTCTCTACCTCCTGAGAGCCGGACTTACAGGCAAGCATCACCACACTCCATTTACACAGTGATGAGTTCAAACCCAGGCCTTCATGCATTCTAGACAAGTGAGGTACATCCCCAGCCCCAACTATATCATATCATTGTTATTTGCATGTTATATAAATCTTATATACATATAAATATTAACACATAATATGTAAACATATAAAAATATATCTATACACACACACATATATATTTTTTTCAGTGTATAACTAAAAATTTTGGCAAATTCAGAGCTAAGTAACCACTACAACAATCATTTATAAAACACTTCCTTCAGCCTGTCGGTGTTGGCACACACCTTTAATTCCAGCACTTGGGACTCATCTCTGTGAGTTCAAGGCCAACCTGGTCTACATACAGATAGAGTTCCTGGACAGGCTCCAAAGCTACAGAGAAACCCTGTCTGGAAAAAATGAAAACAAAACAAAACAACCCCCCCACTTCCTTAACCCCCAAAAAACCCCACCCCTTCCCTCCGCAGCATTATAGCAGACCATCTGTTCCCTCTCCAGCACCTTCATTTCTCCCTGAATGTCACATCAATGCCATCTTGCATTTCACTTCTTCCACCTGCCATGATGAATTTGGGGTGTTGTCATGTTGATGAGCTTGCTAATAGTTTGCTCTTTTTCCTTGCTCAGTAATAGTCCCTTGTGTAGACAAATCATTGTGTCTACCCACCAATACAGAAGCATTTGAGTCAATCCAGTCTTTGATGATAATGACTATACAATGATGATGAATGATGCTAAAATCCTCAGTGGACAGGTTTTGGCCTGGATGGAAGCTAGACCATTGGGACTTCTCATGCCAGCCACAGAACCTCGGCTGCCTATCACCACCATTACTTATCCTTGAATTCTCCCATCACAGAACTTGGAGGAAGGCGGTTACTACAGCCCAGACTTCCTCACACAGGCACACACAACAAAGGGGTTCTTCGAGTTGTCCAAATGGAAGAAATTCTGTTGCACCCTCTTTGTGTGTGCATGTGATGGACACACGTGTGTGTGCAGGTCCATGCCCATATGCATGCACAGAGGTCAGAGGGGGATGCCAGGCATCTTACTCAATCACTCTCCACCTTTCTTTGAGACAGAGTCTCTCACTGAACCTGGAGCTAGGCTGGCAGCAGGACACCCCAGCTATGGCCCGTCTACCTCCTCCACAGCACTGGGGTTATAGGTGCATGTATAACTAAACCTGTTTTATTTGTTTGTTTTTGCTTGGGTACCAGGAATTGAAACTTGGGCCCTTACCTGCTGAGCCATGCCCCCAGCCTTGCTGCAGCTTCTTCATTCAGAAAGGACTACAGCATTGAGCCCCACCATGCATCTTGATTTGCGTGTTCCCAATGGAGAAGCAAGTGGGAAAGAGAGGCATGACCAATCTCATGTCACACAGGCGTCAAGTCTGTGACTCCAGTATGAGCCCCATTGAAAAGGGAAAGCAGGAGAAACACCCCAAGGAAGCTGCCAAGGAGGACGGTGTCTGATGGCAGGCTTTGGGTCTGGGGTATGGGCACAGGAACATCAGGCTACTGGCTGTGGTGGCTTGAATTAGATGTCCCCCACAGTCTCAGATATTTGGATATCTGGTCCCAGTTGGTAGGTGTGCTTTATTGGAGGAAGGGTGTCACTGGAGGCTGGCTTTAAGAGTTTAAAGATTCGAGCTGGGCGTTGTGGCGCACGCCTTTAATCCCAGCACTTGGGAGGCTGAGGCAGGCAGATCTCTGTGAGTTCAGGTCAGCCTAGTCTACAAAGCTACACAGAGAAACCCTGCCTTGAAACCCTGGCTCAGAGGTTAAGAGCACTGACTGCTCTTCCAGAGGTCCTGAGTTCAATTCCCAGCAACCACATGGTGGCTCACAACCATCTGTAATGAGACCTGGTGCCCTCTTCTGGCCAGCAGGTATATATGCAATACAGTATACATAGTAATAAATAAATCTTTTTTAAAAAAAGAAAAATGAAACAATCAAGTAAAAAATAGTTAAAAGATTCACCATTTAGGTTCACTCTCTAGGCTTCCTGCTTGGGGTTCAAGATGTGAGCTCTCAGCTTGATGTTCCAGCCACCTTCATGGAGTCTTTAACACTCTGGAACTGTAAGTTCAATAAAGTCTTCCTTCCATAAGTTGCCTTGGTCATGGTGTTTTATCGCCCCAACAGAATGTACTGATACAATAGCCGAAGGAAGTCCTGCTTGGAGCCTACAGGCTTGCCCTCGTTGGCAATGAGACCCAACCCTGATCTGCCATCTTTCTGCCCTCAGGACTGACTGTGACTTTCTCAGATCCCAGGAGGGTGGGGCCTGCCTGTATATCTGCCTCTACCTCTCCGTCCCTGATTCAGGGTGAGGAAGGAGGGATGGAGGTGGATGAAGAGTTTACGCCTCTCCTAGTCCACCCCACCCCACCCCTGGGGCTCATGGCATTATTGGGAAATTCGTGGAGGGAAAGAATAAGAAAATAAAAGAGGGTGGAGTGGTCAGCATAGTTCCCCGATGAAAAGCAGTCTCAAAGTCACAGAGACAAATGAAAAGCAAATATCAGTCATCACTCAAATATCATGACTCCAGGGTCCTGGGCTGGGGGTAGGGTCAGAGAGAGGGCAGGTATGGGGGGAGCAAGGGAGTGGATGAGCTAAATCTTCCATGGAGGGAAGCAAGGACCTGCTTGTGTGATTTGGGAGAGATTAGACGTAGTTGGGCGTGTTTGTTTTTGTGTTTGGAGTTTGAACGCAGGGCTGACAGCACGCTAGAGGTAAGTGGAGTAGGGTAGTTCTTGCCTTTTCTGACATGCCACATCCCCAGCCCTTGATAGCTGCCTTTTGCTTTTGTTTTTGCTTTGAGACAGAGTCTCATGGTGTGGCCCTGACTGGCATGGAACTAACCATGTAGACCAGGCTGGTGTTGAACTCATACAGATTCATTTGCCTCTCCTCCCCAGTGCTGGGGTTAAAGGTGTGTGCCACCATGCCTGGTTGTTAGCTGTTTCATTTGTGTGTTTAAACTCCTATATGTAGAAAGCAGAAGGAGGGGAGGAGGGACGAGTGAAGCCCGATGTTGTTTATAAGACCACATTGAACTATTTTATTCTTTAATTCTGCAGGTAGAACTTGGATTTTTTTTTTTTTTGAGACAAGGTCTTATTTATCTATTCCAGACTAGCTTCAAATTCAATATGTAGCCTCAAAGAGCCTCAAAGATGACTTTGAACTTCTGTTCCTCCTGGTTCAGCCTCCTGTGCTGGGATTATTGGAGGTGTTGCCACTTCCCTTTTTCGTCTTTTCAGGGGTCAAAGTGAGAGAGTGGGACAAAAGTATTCTACCAATTGTGCTACATCATAGCCTACAATTTGG